ATGGCTACTATGAAGTTTTAATTGATGAATGTGGCAGTGGTTAATCTGTGCTAAAACGTGTTAACACGGCCCCAGCATTGGTTGGTAACACTCGGTTTGTTGTCTCCTGAAGGCCTCTAAAGGACGTAGTCAGGTCTATTGCTTTCTGTAATATAATCAAATTGATAGATAATTGATTCTTGGACATTTTTTCATCTGCGTCTGCCTTCTGGGGAGCAGACTAGTGTTCACGCAACCACAGAAAAGCCGAGTATTATTTTCTTCCGATTCATTCTAATGATTTTTGTTTTCATTCCCTCCGACGACGAGATGTGATTTAATACATTTTACACCGTGCTCCAACAATTGACGTCACAGTTTCCAAGTAAATTAGACATTAAACCACTCCAAATGTCATGCTGTTAAAGATCGAGCCACGGAGCAATTAACACGTTATGTCAGCTGATAAGGATTTGCAATCTGAAATATGAACCCACGTTGCAGGAGCCCCGGAGAGAGTTTAAAAACATGCCAATTCCCCAGAAATCTCAGCTCTCCTCTCCACCAAGTCTAAACCTTGTCAAGATCAAGCAAAATAACCTCAGGAAATGTATGGACGTTTTGGCATGCCGTACCTAATAAATGTCAAGAGGCTTACATGGGGTTTTAGATATGTCAATCAACACTAGAACCAACAAAAGAAAAACATGCAACGCCTACTTCAGTCTGTTACCGAATGGGAGGCTCTTTTTCACCTTACTTTAAAGCTTTTTATTGGACACCCTGCGTACTTCGATTGCATCGTTACGAATGACATTTTCAGTCTAAATCGTCTTGTCCTTACAATTTGAATAAGCCTGTACAAACTATAAGTCAATCGTTTATCCATCAATTAAACTATCAATGGCATCGTGTCATTGCCCCATTGAAGTAAAAAGGCAGCACATAATCTTAACGTGTCAATTGGCCCGGGAATGGTTCACATTTATCACCTCATTAGAGTGTTAATTTCAGCCTCGGTCCAAAAAGGACACTTTCATCTCCTCTCAAATATCGAGGAAGTGATTTGCTGTTATGGTTCAAAATGAGTGGTGCCATCCATCATGTTGTAAAATGTAGCACAGCTTTCAGAGAGGTTGGCGTGTTGCCCGCTTCTCTAAAGGCGAGATAGATATGCCGGCTTCCAGCTGCTTGCTAACATGCTCTGGTTTTTGGGCGGCCGAGGTGTCACCCGCTCACCTCGCGCATATCTGGCAAGCAAGTGTGCCACCCACTCAACAAGCAGTAAGCAATAAGATTCCAGGAGTGCAGAGACTACAGACCCATCCAGCTTTCTTGAATGTCATATATCAGTAGTGGAATTACAATAATGTTTACCAATAACAAAATGTGGCATTTAGAATGTTTCCGTGGTGAATACTGCACTCAGTATTGCATTTGGTTGGATTAATGGTTCCATCCTTTGGAATTAACTGGCCTTTTTTTTTTTAACAAAGCCTACCTCTGGTCGGTGCATTGTGATAGGCGGTTGATGGGATTAGACTGGACATGCTCTCGGTATTCAAACACCGTGTTGTTTGATCAAGTATAGAATGATCTATGCGTTTCCCCTCCGGCTCAAAGGTACGTTTTTGTTAGCTTGAATCAGTCTCAGTTTTATCTTGTAACTGTAAAGGGAAATTGTTCACATTGTGTGACTTTTAATGTCAAAAGGTAGAAAATAACCCAGAACATTTCATTTATGCTTCAAAATCTAGTTATTGTGACAATTAATTGGCCAAAGCCACCAAAAGGGAAAGTACTTTTGTCATCGTGTGAGCTGAAGGTCTTTTTCACCGTGGCAGTCATCGCCGGAAATATTTCTTACAGACAGTATTTATTTCGTCCTGTTTTTTTTTTTTCTTATGAGACTAACTGCTTTCTGTAGTATACAAGAATGTCACTTGGATTCAGCTGAATGCTATTGTGTTACCAAGCTTTATTTATTGTGAATCCAACACTGGGTGAACATTTAAAGGGAAAAGTCAATACAGTACAATACTTGATTTGTAGGTTACAACTGTGTGAGTCCCTGTCTTGCAGAATGGTGTTGCGGTGACACAGTTAGATCGTTGTGCTGGTGATACAGAAAAGGATGAAAAGAGAGAACGGTAATTGCAGTATGTTTTATAACGGATAAGTAAATAGGGATGTTCACAAATAAACTCAATGAACACATTTTATGCTTAGCATCTTAGCTCCCACACAGACCCGTTGCCATGCTTCAATGAGGGTTTTTTTTGGCCATCCCACCTGCTTCCTTACCCTAATCAGTTCCTTTTCTAAGCTGGCATAATCTTCAGAAAAGTGTCATACATTCCTTGTACACAGGAGACTTTTATGTGTCGTAACAACCAACTCAAATTCACAACTATGTGTCACTTGGAGAAAAAATTCACTGTCACATGCCAACATGCCGCTGCTCTACTTATCACTTTAATTAAAGGTGAGGTTTCATACCAATTATCAGTAGAGTGCAGACAAAGTAAACTGTTATGACAGCCTTCTTACAAAACCTCTTTAATAGATGAGCATCGTTTGGCAACGGTATGTGAATTTTGATTTAATTAAAGCCTAAAGCACCCAAATACCTCTATGTAAATCAACCGTAAGAAAAAAAAAGACAACTTTGACAAGGAATTTTGAAGTTATCTAATATTCATATACCCTCTAATTGCATGCCATGATTATAACCTTGGCTGTAAGAAAAGCTTTCAAATAATATAAATGAATTTGGCTTTTATAAGTTTTGCCTGCATGCTGATTCACTCTACTCTACTCTGCTCTGGAGAAAAATCTGATTGAATACACTAATAATATATTTAAACCACACAGAAATGCTAAATGAGAAAAAAAAGACAAGCCTGAAGCTGTATGGAATTAAAATAGTGTTATTCTAACTGGAAACGCGTGGAGAAAGTCTCAACCCACACGTGATGACGACGGGGGTTGAAAAGTGTCCGCGCAGATTCTTTCTCCCCCATCATCTTCATCATCTTCTTTAAGTCCCTTCGTCCTCTCTCTGTAGCTGCCTTTCCTTCTCTTTCTCTCGACTGCACACACACAAACACACACAGACACACAGGCGCACACACAGGGCGTCTGATCCCGTCCCCCTCTGTGGTCCTCCAACCCGCAGCCGGGGTCACAGATGATTAAAGCAGTGGCAGGTGGACTCCACTTTGAAACTATCAATATACCCCGAGAGCTGAATCAAACAGCAAAACCTCCATCTCTGCCAGCGCGAGCTCTCGGTGGCACCGAGGGAGAGGACGCGCAGAGGGTGAGAGGGCAGAATCCCTCCGTGTCCTCATTGTGCACCGTGACGCGCTGCGGAAGAAAAAAAACACCCGCGAAGCAGCTAAGGAGGAATTCCTGACTCTCTGATGTGATTTTAAGCGGGCTTTGTGTATTCATTCAGATGATCTTTGACCCGCGGGGGAAGGCGCGGGGGGGGGGTTCGTGAGGAGGGCCGTCCCGTGTTCCCAGGACGCTGTAGTTTGCAAACATTGAAATTTAAGAAACTGCAATCTGATGGTTGTTGCTCTGCAGTCGAACAAGGGACAGCAAAGGCAGTCTCGCGACGCTGTTGTGATTTCTTGAGCCTCTCATGGGGATTGCTCTTTTAACATTGGGGCTCTGGGGAGATTTTCTTTTAGGCAAGCCAGCAGCAGCATGGCTGCAGGGGGAGGCCATAGCATTCAGTCAGTCCGCCACTTTGGTCTAGACTGAGATAACACAACTATATTTCATTGATTGCCTGCGCATTTCATCAGGCATTTATGGTCTCCAGAGAATGATTCCGCCTGACTTTGGTGGTCCCCTCACATTTCCCATCGCACCACTAGATTTGTGCAGTTTGTGGTTTTCAGGGAAATGCTTCATAAACTTTTGGAAGGATTGCAATGAATTTAGTGGTATTGAAGCAGTTGTAATCACTTTGATATTGATCAGACTATTAATTTTGCACCATCCACAGGTCAACATTTTCATCTCATACTTCAAGCAACAGCAAAACCAGGGACACTCATCAACGCCATGGTGTATTTTCTGTTTAAGACTTATTAACCAATTTTAGCGTCAATAATGACCACTTTTGGAGAATTTGGCATATGCATATCTATCCACCCACCTGTCAATCGGTCTACCTACACTGCTCATAATCAAAATGCCTGAGCACCAAGCGTGTGACTGTCAGGGCAGCAGTAGTATTTCCAGGAGGAATGATTTAATGGAAATGTCAAGAGCAGCAGTCGCTCCAAGCAAAGGATGAACCCTCTGATTCAATGTGAGCCACTCTACCTCAGTGGGGATGAGAGACTTGTTGTCATTCAGCTCCGGTCCTGACCAAAACCTGCTTTTATCAGAACAGAAATGGCTTTGTCAGTTTTTAATGGGATTACAGCTCTTTCATTGCATATTAATTTGCCAGAAATCAATATGGCTGTGCTCCTATTTGGTGCATTTTGAACACTCAGCTGCTCGGCGTATATTGTTAAGAAAGAGGGATAAAGAGTTGGCAGTTTAACATGTATATTGTGATTTCCTACACAAAAAGATAGAATGAAGAAAACGAAGGTCAACTAGATCCTTTGTAAATTAGATGGTTCTTTAAAAAATAGTTTTTACTGAAATAAAATGTATTCATTACAAACTCCTTAAATAACGACAAACAACTCTACAGCATAATTTAAAATAGTAATACGTATTTGTATGAAGAATCCAATCCAGAAAAGGATGAAGGTCTACGGGGCGCTGGAGCTGTCCATGGTACTGAATCCGCCTGCAAGTATTATTACTGTGAAAACCCGTAGAATGTAAAAGCAAAAAAAACAGCTTCTCAGATGAACACCTGCATTCCTAAATGAGAATATTCCCCATTCTCTTCTGTCTTTCAAAAGAAACATCAACATTTTACCCACACCTCTAAAAACACGAACGGAGAAGAGTTGTAGTACCTACACGACACCTTCGGTAGTTTTGCGCCTTCATTGCGCCGCTCAATTACCGCGGTGACCTTCAGATGGGCGCGGTTGTTCGTATCGTGCGATCTCCACCAGTAGGCATCACGCCACAATTAAAATGCGTGTACAGAGCGACCTGTCACCGCGGCTGTTTGCCGTGCTGCTTGGCACCCTGTAGTGGAGAGGGTGACATCTGTGACTCCTCGCCAAGGGAGCCCGGGTAGACGCACCTAACTGTATTTATTCGTTCAGCTCGGCCGAATAATTACGCCGACAACTCCGGCAAGAGGAATTCTTCAATGTTTCATTTTTCCTCTTTTGGCAAACGCAGCTTCAATTCTATCCTTAGAATGGAAGGTAAGATTCTTTTTTGTTGTCTTGAAGCGGCGTCGGAGTGAAAATTGACCTCTGGTTGGTCATTCGGAGTAACAACCACATCATGTTGTTAATTATATACATTTCCTCGACAATCCTTTTTAATTTAAGCTGAATTCTTATCATGGTTTAGTTCGAATTTGCGCCCGAGGACTTTGGTCCTTAAGTTTCACTGGATTTACTCTCCGCGTGCATCCACCCTCATGTTAGGTGCTGCTGAACTGCGATGGTGAGAAAAGTCGTTATTCGTGGGTCTGATTTGCATGGCGCAGCGTACATTTGATATAACGTCAGTTTATCCCGGGTGAAGGTTTCTCATACGTATTATGCCATGCTGTCGACCATTGTTGTACATTCCGCATTGGCTCTCATCTGTTTGTGTTGGACAATGCCGTAAAATGCGATGCAAACCCTCGCCAAGTAATTATGGGGAAACTTTAAATGGAAAACTCCACTTCAGTGCCACGCACTGCCAGGCTATTTACAAACCTCTTACTATCATGCCTTCTAGACTATTTTCTTTATGTAAAACATGAGGGAGAAAGTCAATTTCGTGGGATTATAGAAAGCATCACGGCGAGATAAAAAAAAAAAAAAACTCGCTTTGTTGAATTGTTCCAACGAGTTGCGTTGCACACAATATCCAATACAGTCAGAAACAGATCTGCCTGATAATTCTCCTGTTACACTGCATTACGTTTTGCGCAGACGCTCAAATTTAACAACCGCGTAAAACATCTACAGAAGTTGAGATTCGGTATTGTCTTTAGGACCCGGCGGAGCGGTGCTATAACTGGACATAGCGGCTCCATCTGAGGAAGGTTGATCATCTGTCCCCTCCTTTCTCGTCCACAAGTCGGCTGGGTATAGGAAATCTCCCCAAACATCGCAAAGAGCTGCTCACTGGCGGGATGTTTTAATCCGCGCTGATGGACTTTAATGAATTTGCGACCTTGAATCACCTTAAGAACAACTTGAAGTATTTCCCGTGCGCCATTCCGATGGATGCTGCACCAAGCGCCGCGCTGCGTAAAGCCCACCATCTCCTCGACGCACGGTTCTATGAGGTGTAATTAAGCGCGAAAAGAAACGGTCTTACTGAGCAAGTGAGCATCTTACATGAAAGGTAAGGTGGCGTTCAACGCATCTGTTGAAAGAGAAGTTGGAAAGGAAAGATAAGTCGTTGCGCTCTCCGAATCATCTCGCATTGATCCATCTATTGTAAAAGTTAATATAAATTAGAGACAACATACATAACTTGTTGAATGAGCAGCTGGTCCCAGGAGCGCGTTTAAATGTGAGTATTGTTGTGTTTTGAGCATTCAGGCTGCATACCGTTTTGTGTCTGGTGTTGATAATCGCGGCCAAACGGGCAATTACGGGGTTATTGCAGTTGGCTGTTACATGGGCGGATCGTTAATCATTATCAAGTATGAAGTGGGTTAACTGAATAAGACACGAGTGGCTCATGACAGAGAATAAACCCAATCCAAAGCGCTTCGTTCCACTTTAAAAAGTTTTCTTACATTGAGATGCTTTTCTGTGTTTTTCAAGATATGGGAGCGTTTAGATCTGGATCTAGATTTTCATCGTATGCCCTTAATCTAAAGCTGTTGTTATTCTAAAACTATCCCCTTCATCGGCAGTTGCTTCTGAAGAGGAATAATGTGACTTTAACCTGTTGAGCAGCAGGTCAGTAAAGTCAGATCTAGGCGTGCCTCTGCGTATACGACCTGACAACATCTAAAATGATTGGACTTCTCCCCTGGCCCCTGTCCTGTTGCATGAACCCTACACGTCCTGGATTTTAAAATGTTCGCAACATGCGACAGCGTTTTAGCATGTTAGTGGTTCTGAGGTAGAACTTTGAATAATGCATCGCATCAGATTTCATGTGTGCAGACGGGCCGGCTCTCTGGCTGCGCTCCACACCGGGGGACCCTGACATTGTCTCCACGTCAACCATGTATCTCAGGGAGAAAAACCTTTGCATGAAAGCCCAACGCCTCTTGCTGTAAATAGAAGGTGTGCTCAAGGTCCCTCTTTTCCCTCTTTGATTGTAATGTGTTATGCCTGAACGGATTTAGCGCAGCGAGGATGCTGTTGAGAGACAAAGAAAGGAAGAGGGTTTGATGAAAGAAAGATGGACTGAGAGGCCGAATCAGAGAGACAGAATGAAAGAGTGAAAGACGATAAGAAGACAAATACCTGCCAGTACAGACACGCTTCTGCCTGCCAGTCAATGCGCCTGGGACTCATATGAGGGGTTTGTTCTTGGCACAGAGAACGTTGGAAGCGTTAACCAATTTCATTGTTTGCACTCATCAGCCAGTCACAAAGCTGAAGTCTGCTGAAACTGGCTGTGGATCAGAAGCTACTGGTTGTAAGTCAGCGGAAATCAAGAAACACAATGAGGCCTTATTGTATTTGTGCAAATTCTGACCAGGTGCTTGATCCAGGAACCAAATAGCAACTGTTGCATGATAATCCACAGATGGAGAATTTGTTTGGGCCGCCGGATGCTTTTTTGTGTGTTAAAAATCAATAAAACTGTCATCTACAAATCCTCGTAGCATAGGAGAGGTGTATTTGTCCCGTATTTCAGCACCATGGAAGGTTCCCCTCCACTTTGCCCTGTATGGGAGCTAAGAGGCGACCAGAAAGCCACACTCAGACAGAGAGCGCAGCCACACTTTAGCAAGATTACTATAAAATGAATGGAATACATGCGCCATGGTTTTGAAGAGACCGGCTGGGAGTTCGTAGCCAATATAAGCCACGGGGCACTGCTACCTGCTGACTTTTAAAACACTCTGCCATGCTTGAGCTGCCCAGGGGATGGAATGCAAGCGGACACAAGGGGGTGTTTCAGAGGCTTTGAAAACAAGTGAGGGAAAATAGAGAGAGAGAGAGGGGGGGAAGAGGGTAAGGTGGTCACTCTAAGCTCCAGGCCCTGTTCTTTCCCTGCATATGGAGAGCTGCTCAAATATTGATGACATTTAATATAGAATCTGACTTCATATTTCTCTCAGTGAAATTACAACATTCCTGTGCTTCTCTTGCATTGCGAGTGCAACTGGGTATGAGTTGAAGATGCTGGTGCAGGCTAAGCAATGGTAAAATATTTTAATGTGGCTGTATATTTACAGTTTCACTGTGTCATTTTAACAAAATATTTGGCGTTCCAATCCAATATTCCTGTGGTCAGCTCAATTTTCTTTAATTTATTAGCTTTTTACCTATTAAATAGAAATAGGATATTTATATCAACAGCAGCTGGGAGCTAATTTAACTTTCTTTATAATGTAAGCCAACCTCCAAATCGTCAAGAAGGGTATGTTTAGGTCTGTGGAGCGCATGCAGAAAGGGAACGGTTCATCCCATGATACATTTTTCTTCTAAAACTTATATTTAAAGGTATACATTTTGCCACACACATCCACTCTACAGTATTCATCACTCAAAGGTGTGTCATCAAATTTGTCATCAAATTTGTAATTGGCCTTCGCTTGGAAGTCTTGTTGATTGACATGAGCACATTTAAAGTGTGTGATTTTTTTTCTACCACTTTCTTGTCTGTCACACGAAGGCTGCCATCCGTACCAGCTGACTAGAATCACTTTGAAGTGCGTGCCGAGCCTGAACGGCAGTGCGGATCACTTTTCTGGCTTAGATGAACCTCTGTCATTACAGTTGGAATGTATTCAAGCCAGAAGTCATTTTGTAAAATGGGCATTAGAATAGAAGCAGTAATTGCTTTAGATGTGGTCAAAATGTTCAGTCCAAGACAAGATGGCCAAGTTAAAATACTGAATTCTAATGCTTCCATATGCCAGCAGGGATAACAGAAACCAGCCTGCACGTGGGAGCCGCAGCAACTCATTATGAGGAATTTCTATTTCCCAAATGTGATATGAATCGTTCTCCTTTCAAACAATAAACTTTCCTCCACTTTTGTTAATTTATTTGATTTGACTCATGATAAAAACTGTAATCTCATGACACAATAGCAATAGTAGCACTTGTGCTTTGAACAAGAAAGACTCCACATGCTTCAAACCACATACTATCTCGACTTTTTATTCTAACAGTGACTGTCGGTCACAGATTTAGCCTGCAGGGAAGAGTCTAAAGCTGTTCACTGGAAAGTTGGTAGATCCACTGCCCGGACCAGCTTGTGGCATTTTTTGAAGTCTGAATCTGTGTTACAAATTTGATGTGACCCGTACTGACAATTTAGAGGGGATAACTCTACATGCTTGTAGAAACTGTGCCCTCAGTGGCAATAAGTTCAATTAAAATGTTCACTTACGACAAAATAGTCTTTTTTTCACAAGGGCAAACAAAGTGTTACTCTATTGCAGGTGGCTGAATATTACTGCTCAATGTTTTTCCTCCACTGCCACCCACACACCTTGTACATGAGACATGAGGACACGAGTAAGGCCATTTGACTGATGGCTCGTGATAGCTCTCTCAAATAGACAAGCAGAACTCTACATTTGGCTGAAAGAGCAAGAAAATCGGAAAAAGCAATAACTCCTGTGACCTAAAACACTGAAATAAGCCGTTTTGCATGAAAATCAAATGGCGATTAGGCTTCGCTGAACTAGCTCAATTTGAATTCCATGCAGTGATTTTGGCAAGGTTATTTTTGTGGGATCCGTATAAACAGTGTAATGTTTGTGGATACATCATGTATGTCCTCAGCCCATTTAGAACGTCTGTTAACATTATAGTAACAATAACAGTGTGTCAAATCTTTTGTTTTGTTTTTTACCAAACTGTATTTTTCCCCATTTCTTCTAGGATGCTGGAAAAACGGCAGGAGATCAAGTTCAGACATCTGACAGCCACTGACTTATGAGGAGTGTCACTCCTCTCTGCACATCCCATCTGACCGTTGGTTGACCCTTTCATCAACGCTCAACACTCGTGAAGAAACTCCCTGGTTGACACACCTCATCAGCCGGGGCGAAGTGACAGCAATCAAATAGCGAACAACTGAACGGTGGCTAATCGTTGCCTGAAGCCACTCACGCAAAAGTAGCAACATGCTGCCCCAGTCCCCGACTGCGCTGTTGCACCTCTCAAAGCTGCAGTTGAATTAGAAAATTCCCAGAGAAAGAAGCCTTTTGTGGACAAAGCAGTAAGGCTGTAAACGAATAAAAGAAGTTTCCACAGAAACCACACAGAACGACATCAGCGATGCTTTGGCCCATATTGTTCAGCCTGCAAGCCGTGTGCACCAGTGTGTCACATGCCATGCAACATTACCCGGCAGCCTGGGGACACTATGACGTGTGCAAGTCCCAGATCTATACAGAGGAGGGCCTGGCGTGGGACTACATGGCCTGTCAGCCTGAAGCCACCGACATGACAAAGTACCTGAGAGTGGCCCTCGACCCCCCAAATATCACGTGTGGAGATCCGCCCGAAACGTACTGCGCTTTGGTGAGTCGTAACCTCGCCTGTCCCGCGATGGAGACGGATGAGATTGTAGGCAGTATCACACAGCATACTGGGTCAGGGATAGAGAGCAATGCATACAATGCAACGTGCTGCCAGTGCAGCACAGAATCATTTGCACATCTGGTCTTGTGCATTACGGCACAGCGCAGTCACTAGTCGATCTATGCACGCAACTTGGAGAATAAAGGTACACGCATACATAATTACATATACACGTGTAGTACAAATACGCAACAGGTAATTAATAAAAATAACATTTCTGTGTGGTCTAACTGACCACACTGAATTTGTCATATTTCCAATAGTACTGAGGTTCATCTCAACATAATGTCTTGTGTGTGTGTGTGTGTATATATATATATATATATATATATATATATATATATATATATTGTAAAAAATCCTGCATACAATTGACGAAGTCAAGTGTTGTTCTGTTGTTTGTGTCCTCAAATACAAGTATAAATATGCAGCATTCTGTAATGACAAAAATGTAATATTGGCTTTTGCAAACCAGTCCGACGTACACAAACACACAAACACATAAACTAGGGAGGTGATCAGCATCAACAGTGATTAAACAGTCGGTAATTGTACTGATGCAGTTGTTATGCATTACACGGACCCCCTCACTGTTCAGCCTTATGGTTCAATGGGCCTTTATCAACCATTATCAACAGTTCAACCCCAGGTTGCATTTGTTCAGTATCACACTCAAAGTAAGAGCAAGAGCCCATAAGCTTTAAAGTGCTTCGTAAAAAGCTGTGTGTGTGTGTGTGTGTGTGTGTGCCCGCAGAGAGCTCCTGGAGTAAATATTTACCAATTAAAACGGGCATCTTTAAAAGGGGAGTTCTTATCCTCGCAGCTCCAGATGGCATTGGGACATTTAATGCCACTATGGGATAAAAAAGGAGCCGAACGTCAGTAGTGACGTTCTGTGAACTCCTATAGCAGAACAAACAGAAAAATCTTTATCAGCACATTAGATTTCTGTAAACACCCAACATTAACGTAACGCAGGGAATATAAGGACAAAATAGAAACAGAGGTGAGGCCGGTCCTCGAGTCAACCGGATAAACTGCAGTTAAAAATGCTTTCTCACGACTCTGTCCATGTTTAAAAAAATATATAATATATAATATAATTTCCTATTCAGTATACAGCATACACATTGCCTTCATGGATTTAGCTAATTTGTCACTTTATACTATAGTTTTTTTAATTTTTTTTAATTTTTATTTTTATTTATTGTTTTAAAGTAATTTATTTATAGATGTATTAATAAAGCTACAACGAGTGAATGTATACTTGTTTATGGACTGCTCACTCATGCAAAGCTTGCTTACCCATCGCTTGTATTACGGTGTGTGGTTAGCGACTACATTTAAATAACCAGGTGGTTTAGTGTAATCATTCGATTTTGTTAACAAAACATGCCACTTACTTTAATGTTGAGAGAGCGCGAAGCAACAAGAGCAAAAGGCTACCAAATAATGTTGAAGCCAACCTCCAAATCATTAGGAAGGCTGTGTTTATGAACGCATACGGGCGGCCATGGGAGGGAACGGCTCATCCTGCGTTCCCGAGGACGCGCGGCCATGATGGCGTACATAGTAAAGTGTTAAATGTTGCGACATTTAGCTCACAGAAACGCTATGCCCTTAGCTAAGTCCCGCCCCCTGCTGCTTCCATTTCAATCCGTGGATCACTAAATAACTGCCCCTCTACACCAGCCTCATACCATTTAAGCGGTCACACGACTGTCCTGACTGTATCTGTCAGGAGGCCAGGCCCACCTTTGACACACATCTGAGGTCATTACCGTCCAAATGATCAAATACACAAGCTCCTCCTGCACCCGCTTGTTGTGCGTTTGATCTGTTTACGTCCTCGGCCGGCGCAAAGGCAGAATGACACTGGTGACCTTATCCGCCGGTGCTTCCTGAGAGTTCGTTGGAGATGAGAGCAGCATGCAGATGAGCTCTTTCAGTCAATCACCATCACAGTCGCCTGCGGCATAACCTAATCACTTTCCCCAGGAGGTTGGTTTCCCTCGTAGTGGATGGTCAAAGAGTTCCCGATGCCTCATTCCCCGTCCCTCCTCTCCGTCTCGTACCTTCCCATCTTTGTCGCTCAAGGATGTTCGTGTTTTTCTGTCCAAAATTAGCTGTGCTGAATGTAGCGACGTCACAGTGGATCATTTCAATAATTCATTTTGATGTTGGGGCTGTTTTGCCTAGAATGTTTAGGACAAATGATAAAGGGAGTTCAGAATAAACAGTGTCAGGGAGTTAGCCCCGTTTTTATTTTTAGCTGCAAAGCTTCGGGGGTTCTTCAAAGTGTTTTGGTAATAATGCTGTTCTCCTGAGTCACTTGACCTGAACTGAACAACATGTTAAGGTCTCTCTTTCCACTTAAATGCTGTGTGCAGGCTAATGAAAATGCTGGATTCATTTCCATTTTTTTCTCATATTCAGCATTTTAATAGATTGATACAACTGATTCGATTAATACTCGATCGCACCACTTGCACCTTAATGAACAACATCCCGTAATAAACTCTTGACCCTTGTCTGCATCTGAAACCACCTGTAATATTTTTTCTATGGTTAACAGACCTGAGTTGTATTTCATTTAAGCACTTATCCCTCTTTTAAAATCCAAATCAAGCTGACTGGTTAATTTGACAGCAATTCATACGAGTAGCAGGCCATCACATCGTCTTCTTTGAGCGAGGAGGTTTAATTTTCCATGCAAATCAGAGTCAAACCAAATCCGTCGTGGTTGCCAAGTAATGGGCACAGGCGTGTTTATTCCACAAAATGTAAATAAGCGTTTGGCAGATGGCTGCAGCAGGATCTTGAAGTTTTCACAATCTGAATCTGCTGGGTAAATACGCTCTGTTTTGTTAAGCAGAACGCCCCGACAAGCATTTCAAACTGCGGCTGCCACGGTGGAGCACTGTTTGGATTTGCTCATTACGGAACTTTTCTCCCAGTGGTTTGAAACACGGCAGGAAAGAAATTTTCCCGAGCACACATGTGCAGGGGTGCTCACATTTTCACGAGCACCCCTGTTCTCCAACAACCTCCACACCGGTCAGGCAGCAGCTCTAAACAAACGAACGGGATTCTCAGACCCCAGTTAGGCGTCATCGGGCCCAACACGCTCCCAGGGATCCGCAGCCGAGCCGATACATCCACGCCACGTTTGGCAATTGTATAAACATTTGTGTGACCGATTCGGTAATGGCGCTTATTCCAGCAACTCCCGAGTCTTAGCAGGGCGGATTCTTGTAATTCCACTGAACTTTGTTCAGTTCTCTCAGAATGGATGAAAGGAGTTGGCGGCTGCCAGTTCACCACGCAGCCCCCCCCCTCCGAGGCTTACAAAGCAGAGACGAGACGAGAGCTCCCGCTAAGCCGCTGGGAGACCGCCACGTTATTGACAGTCAATGCTGCAGACTTATCTCCGCTGGCAATGACGGGTCATTGTGAACTTTTAATCTGCGTCCTACACGCCCGCAGGAATTGACGTAAATTGATTATAGACAAGAAGAAGGAGAGTAACCGTTGTTTTCGTCCATTTAGCCAGTTGCGCTTAGGAGGAAAGGCTATGGCTGCCTGGTTTCAATGGGGGTTTTCAGGAAGTAAAACCAGAGCCAAAAAATTGTATTCCTTGTCAGTACTGCTGCAGTTTGGCAATGGTCCTCTATCCCCACATATGCCTTTCATATCGCGAGAAAGACAAATATCGCAACATGGCGTTGTTTTCTGGTATTTCAATAGCTAAATAAAACACGTAACTTCTTACATTACATTTACATTTTTGAGTGATTTGTGGTTAGCAATTTAGACACATTTAATATTACATATTACAGCTTCACCACATGATTCCAATGAAAGACGATCAATTAGAACGTTGATAATCCAAAATTTAAGCCATTAACACATGGTGTGGTTGGAGAAAGGTCAGCTTTAGGTCAAATACTGAAAAAATAAATGCATTCCCTATTGTATTTTCTAGTTTTTATTGAGGCACAAAATTATGTTGCGTTTGCAGAAAGCAGTTTAGTGTACAATAATTTTCTATTCTGTAGTGAACATTTTAAAGGGGGTTTCATACATTTCACTGAAACTCTTGTGCACCTCTAGCGCTCTGAATGGCCGAGCGGTTCAGAGGTCAAACCAGGACTCGCCTCTTTGATCCCTGTGCCCTTCCTCCTCTTACTTGTTATGGGACAGGAAACAGTTGGAGCGCTCAGCGTCCTGTCAACCCTGTGCCCTTGACTGTGTTCCGAACTGGCCCTCCCCAGCACATCATCACCGCGCCACTGCGTACCAAGACACCTAGATGACATGCAACATGTCCCATGACACCAGGATGCGGGGTGGAAAGTGGAGAGAGGGGGGGACAGGGGGGTTGGCATCATTTATTCTTTCACTCGACTGCCACCTCTTTTGTCTCCTGGCTTTTTAATTTCCCTTGTTTTTGTGTCAGCTGATAATGCATAATATCCATGCCTTGTTTTGTCGCGTGGGGGTTGGAATGCTTCATGTGAGACGGGCACCTAGCGGAGGGAGATACGGCGTTCTTCTCTGGGATCTGCGACATGTTAATTCTTAGAGGGTTGTGAATACAAACATAGATGAATTATGCATCGAGATGCAAAAGGAAGCAATGGGCTGCACAGAGACTTTTTAAGTTGCTTAACAATTGAATGTGTGTTTGGGGTCTTTAAAAACAAAACGCTATATGAAAGTAAAAGACATACTACTTGAAAAAATAGATAAACACATATTTTCTGCAGGTGTGTGTAAGAATGTAGCACAAATAATAACAGCTGGTTTCGTTTTCTGGATGTAAACCGAAATTGACTCTGAGGTACATATAGAGTACATTATCTTTCCTATTAAAAATCTCAAAAATCATTTGATGAGAAAAAACATTTACCTTTCTGTGAAACCAATTGTACAGTTTA